AAGCACGACTAAAAAGGCAAGAATGAATTAATGTCAAATACGTAATCTACTAGCTGAAAACCAAACATGGGAAGGCAGGATTTAATCTCAATTTTGTGCTTGCATTCAAAATATTTTTTGCTATTCATTTTCTGACTACAAGGGCATTGCTAACAGTTAGAACAAAGAAAGATAAAGTTTTGAAATAAGCAGTTAAAATGACATGAAGAGGAATTACTCATACGCTTTTAAAATACTTAAGGCTTAGCTGGAATGAATCAGAAAGCTCAGTATATTTTAGATTAGAATTTGTAGACATTTTTCTTCCCAAGCTTCCACACGCCTCTATTTCGTGCTCCAGAGCTTAGAGCTACTTTCACCTTCACAAACAATTGGTTTGGTCAGTTGTCAGATTTTCCAATAGAAAATTAGGAGCATCACTTGTAATTTCTTAGATATTGCTAATAACAACCTGAACTTTATTATATTAAAAATTCCTTACAACTCGGTCATTAAAATTTAATAAATTCTAAACACCAGCCTCTTCAAAAGACAAGAATTAATCCCTATTTTGTCAGACAATGCCTTCCAGAGGGAAGATGGGGATAGATCCTTTGATTTTATTGCTTCTTTGTTGCTAGATTTCCTTTTAAAATGTATTAGTCTATTTCTTTATTTTTTTACCCAAGAGCCTGGCTAAGGTGCAGTAAGACACCACGTTCCCTACTGGAGAAGCAATCTGCCACATTTTCACGAAACCTTATCCTTATGTTTCATTTACACTGAGATGCACTGATGGCATCAACCCTTCCTTGAGTTTCACAAATTGAGTGTTTTCATTTTAGAGAACAGCTTCTTCTTTGGGGAGAGAGAAGAAAAGCTTTTGTAGGAGCCAGAACACTACTTTTAAATCTACAAAAGGTAAAGTAAATTCTTTTTAGTTGCAAGTTCTATCTACAAACAGAGATTTTTGGCTCTTTGGGAATATAACCTCTTCTTTTTGAAAATTACTCACATGGATAAAGCTTTAGTGAGACAAAGATTATGCCTGGATGTGCCTTGTCTTCCTTTGGGACTTAATTTTGGCTTGGTGGTATAGGTGTCAAGGAGGTTTCTTGTTCTTTTTATCAGTGTGACTAACCAGGCTTTGGTGTGATTTTTGGATGGTTGTTGTGATTGTGGTTTTTTTTTTTTGGGGTTTTTTTTTTTTTTTTTTTTTTTTTTTTTTTAATCTGGATAACGTTGTCTACAATGTAAATTCTTCTGTGTGGACATAAGAAATATTCAGAAGCAATACACTCTCCCACAGCCTACAAAGATATTGTACAAACATTTACTTATTCTGAATTTTTCATAGGATAATTCACAGTTATGAATAGCTGCTGCTACTCTCTAAAAGCATCAAATAACACATTTTCCAGGGCTGGTGGATAAGGCAATAATTTCCAGTTTCTTTCATATTAATGTATATGTATAGATGTATCCACGTATGTTTTCAGAACCTTCTTCTGAGTGCTCAGTTTTATCAAATCAGGTATGGGACACTCTCACTGCCTAATACATATGCAATCTGTAATTTATAGTGAAAAATTATACAGATAGGGTGAGGCACATGTCAAAATCTGTGTCACTCAGGAAACTATTTCCTTACTAAGACAACATAGTCACAGACCTAGATAATTTGATTGAAATGGCTGAATTGTTTTAATGTCACAACTCCAGCTACCAGAAGAATTAGTATATTCTAATTGTCCCTAATATTTGAATACATTTACAAACACAGTTATTGGTTTATTGATCAAAAGGGAGCAAAGAAAGCAAGGGGCAGAATATGCAAAATCAACAAAAGTCTCTTCTCCTAGTTAGTATCTTGCTATGATGAAAATGTATAAAAAGATGGAAAGTAGCACTGCCAGTGTGGCTGAACACACATCAATGGTTTTAATAATAAATCACTTAGTAATTCCTGGCTTAGGAGTTATCATGAGGAACCATTCAAATGCTATATCTCTGATTCTGTGTCAATATCTCTGATTCTGTGTCTATTTCTCTACCTTTTACTCATTAGAGGCTGAAACAGTTGTCTACTCCTATAATTGAAATCTGGGCTTTTCTCCCAAGATTGCTAAATAGCTCTTTCAATAAGTCTGTAACCAGACAGCTACAGTTTCTTCTTGTTACTGGGAGAGCTGCATACATACACACTTTTTTCTGGACAGAGACACAACTATGGAAGTCCTTGAGCGTTTTCCACAGTCGTACCTTACTCGGAGTTTAGTGCAGATGAACCATATCATTATATATCCTCTTAGACTTGAATGAACCAAGAAAACAAATTTAAAATACTTCTTTTTTGTGTTTGTGTAGGTAGGGAAGTTAAGTAATCCTCCAAGTATCCAATTCTGACACTTCAAGAGAAGGACACTACAGATGATTTCTGACCGCTTTTTTGTCCACATGCTCCTAATTCAGTTTAAATCTCTGATTCAATTTTAATCAGAACAATGAAGGTGGAAATGGGATAGTGAACAACCAGGAATAAATTCTTATTCATTCTCAGCTTTTTAATGCTGGCTTAAAATTTTAATAAATCTTCAACCTACAGTAGATTTTGTGGACTTTGACTGAAAATGCAATAACATTTTAGATCAAGACTGAAAGACAGCTCACAAGTCATAGTGGGGAAATCTATGCTATTTCACCTGCAGTTCACCTGAACCTAAATACTGCCGGTGGTTCATTTTAAGTATTAAATTCACATTCAGCTACAGACTTATAATAATTTAAAACTTCCAAGAAAAAGAGAGTGAGAAACAGAATTATTCAAATTTATAGATCTACTGTTTAACTATGGAAAATTCTCCAAACTCAAAAATTCCATAAAGCTGCAGAAGTCACAGATACTCTCAAAAGTAAAATCACCCTATATTAGGGAGAGGGATTCAGATATAGTGGCCTAGCTGACAAGATCTCCCATAAGATCATTCCCAAGTGCTGTATTAAAAAAAACCACAACAAAAAGAAACAAGAACTCATACTAACACACCCACAAATGGAAAACTTTCTTCTTACTTTTCTCTGAGAGTAACCATCAGATAACTCTAATTATTTCTGTTTGCAAGTATACTCCAGCTGAAGCAAAGACAGGGTATTTTCCTGCTGAAGCAAAGTGAATGGTTGACCAGGAGCACTTGCTTCACTTGCTACTGACATAGCTATCTGTCCTCACTTGTTGAACCCTGTTTTTGTGATGATAAAATTTTTGGCTGCCTTATTTATGCTGTTTATGCTTTTCCAAATGGTTGGAAAAGAAATGAGATGTTCTACTTCAAGAGAAATAGTAGCTGAGGGGATAGTTAAGGAGAGGATGTAGGCAAAAGTGACATTCATAATCTCTCTTAGATTCTGCCTGTGACACTGGATGCTATTCCATGCCAGGATATTTTTTTTCTTTAATTTTAAGGTAACAAATCATACCACGAAAATCTAGCATAGATTCAAAAAGGCAGAAAAGTTTTTTCTGCTTTAAAGCAGAAAAGTTACTTGGATGTGTCCCACATAATTTTAAATCCCATCCTCCTCAGAGAGCCTGAGAAACACTCACCTTCAAGGCTGCTGTAGGCTTGCTCTCAGCAGAGAGTCTGTACATCACCCAGTTGACTTTAATTGGGAAGAGTTGTCCCTGAATTTATAAAACCTGAATGCAGCTGAGAGGGTGACCCCCAGATTTGTCACCATAAAGAAAAACATGAAGCAACACATTGTGTGGATCCATCAAGTTCCATGACAAAACTGTAGTGGGGAATGCAATAATCTTCAAACCCTATCTTTACATGAGTTTTACTCCTTTGCAGATCAAGCATTGTCCCCCTAGGGAAAAGTGTTATACAAACTTATCACCAGGCTCTCAGAACAGCTGTGTAGTCTCAGCTGCTGTTTTCAGCAGCAGGAAGTTTGGAGACATTTCAAGAGACAAACAAATGAGATACCCTGGTTATTTTCCTCTCCAGAAGTACACGCTTATACAGGAACTCCTTTCTGCTGCAATGGTTTAATAGAGTGTTGCTGTGGAAACACTGGCACCAAAGTACACCTGATAGAAAGCTATGTAGAAAAATCAGCCCATATATCAAACTCATTGGGGTTTTGCACTAAAAGTACTTTGGTGCACTGTTCCTTGGCATTATATTTGTCCCTTGTTTTGAGAGTATCCTAGTGAAAATTCATGTTTTTCCAATGTTACTTCTCTCTGTGTTAGGAGAAGAAAAAAACAAACACCTGAACTGTTAAACACCATCTTGAAAGTATGGCTATAACTGTCTTTGAGCATGATAAAGTCAGAAAAAAAGAGATGTCATAAGAGCTTTTCAGTATTAAAATCTGAATATATATATTTTCTATATAATATCAGTAAAAGTACTTTGGTGAGTCTGCACTGAAGCCTTTCAGAAGTGCTTTATCTGGGATTTCTTCTTGTTTTATTTTTACTTGTGGTTTTTGTTTTTTGTTATTTTTTTTTTTCAAAAATAAAGTGCTTGTTTAAGTGGAAAAACACATTTTAATTGCAGTGTGTGAGAAACAACTGTTTTTCATTTTCAGTGTGTGTGATGGCATTCCTTATTAAAAGTGATAACTAATGAAGTATGAAATGAATGTTCATTAGGCTGGCACATGAGCTTCTAGAAAAGGTACGGCTAAAAACCTTTATTTGGACACATAACCTACATAACTATGAATTATTTTTAGACATAAACAAAAAATATTAAAAATCAAAGAATTTTCTCTCATGGATGATGTTATGGAAAATGAGAAGCAGAGAGGTTGTTCTATATTTATGGTCTGACCAACTGATAAAAAATTAATGTAGGTAATATCTGAATTATCAAACAAATGGAATCAGCAGTTCCTTTAACATAATTTGCATATTATTTCTTTACTGTGACAAAATTATAAGAAATTACTGAGGTATGTGAAACACCTGAAAGATTACAATAACTGCAGAGACCTTTAAAGATACTTACATCACTTTCATGGCCTTCTCTTAGATTGTAAGTGAGATCATGCTGGATGTCTTCAACAAACTTGTGAGCATACTCTGGGTAAAGGTCAAGAACTTCAAAGAGACCTTTGAGGATAATACACTGGAGGTCACAGTATGTTAGAGCTTTAACATCTGCGTTTGTTTTAATAACTTGATCCCTAATGGATAGGTTTGCTCCAATTAAATCTCCTTTACCTGAAAGAGAATACAAAAATAATTATCTTCAAAGCATAAATTCTTTACTTTTTTGAATCATAAAGCTGTTTAATATAATTGCTGTACTTGAACCTGAAATTCCATTGTTACTAATGCCTTATTTAATTAATAACATGCTAGAGGATCATAGACTAATTTTTTCCCTCTTTTTGCCGGTGCAAACTTATACACAATTAATTGGAGGTAAAAAACCTAATTTCCAGGCAGGTAACTGGATGTTTTAAGGGAGCAATAAAGTAAATATGTATAAAATGAAGACTTACACTAGTAACTAATAGCAGGTGCAATTGTTTTTCAAAAAAGATGTTGTCAGGGGTTTTTTGTGTGTGTCTTAAACCATGCAGGTGTTAAGGTAGCATTTTAACATTTCTGTCAAGAAGAAAAAATGGCTTAGGAAAGAATTCTTAAGCTGGCTTTTTTTTTTTTTCCATTTATGGAGAAGATGGCCTTAAAACACTGGCTGTATTAAAAACCTCAATTGACCATATACTGAGGAGGACAAAACTTTTATAATTAAAAGCTTCTTCCATAAACATGTGACCTGAGGTATAAATTCCAAAGTGTAGTCAGTGAACCAGAGGTTTTCCCCAAAAGTTAAAGCAGATGGTCTTCTTGAAAGACCTGGACAGTGTGATGGAGTGCATTCTCAGCAAGTCGTGGGCAACAGCAGACTGGCGGAATTGGTTGATGATACTGAAGGACAAAGTTGCCATTTAGGAGGACCTCAATGAAAGACAAAACAGTTGCTAGGATTTTCATGAAGTCCAACAAAACCAAATGCCAAGTCCTGTACCTGGGATGAAAGCCATCCCTACAGCTGTATTACAGACTGGGAACTGACCAGCTGGGCAGCAGCTCTGCAGGAAAGTTCCTGGGGGTCATGGGGGACAAGCTGAACATGAGCCAACAATGTGTCCTTGCAGCAAAGAATTCAAGGCCCTCCTGTGCAGCATCACCAAGAGTAGAGCCAGCAATTCCCAGGAAATTACTCTTTCCCTCTATATTTTTCATACTTCATCTGGAGCACTGTGTCCACTTTTGGGCTTCCCAGTACAAGACATAATATTGACATATTAGAGTGAGTCAAAAAGAGGCTATCAAGAATCAGGGTTTAAAGAATATAATTTATGAGAAAAGGCTGAATAAACAGGCTATTGCTCCATCTTACAAAGAAAAGGCAAAGGAGGGATATTATTACTGCCTTCAACAGCCCAGCAGAAAATTGTAGAGAAAACAGAGTTAAACTTCTCTTCAGAGTGCACTGGGCAACAAGATGTACTGGGCACAGGGTGTAATAAATTAAATTCTCATCATAAAACAGGAAATGAAAATTAGGAAACAGTGGAGCAGCCTGCCCAAAGACGCTGTGGAATTGTGAGCATCCTTGGAGATCTTCAAAATGTGCCTGGACATAACTCTTATGACTCTGAGATGAATTTGCCCTGTGTTAAGCAGGTTTAAGTTGGGTACCTTCTGAAGGTCTGAAGATCCCTTCAATCTTACATTGTTCTTTGATTAATAAATAGTAAGTTAAGACTGTCACCTTGGAAAATCCACCCAGATTCCACCTGTATATTACACAGGAAATGGCCAGCTTGCAAAGTTAAACTAATCAGTCAACCATCTCCAAGTCTTCTTAATCTACCTTAAGATAGTTTTTTTATTATTTACGTGGATCTTGAATAACTTTCTCAAAAGTACTTATCATAAACTCAAGGTCGGGAGGGATATTCTCTTATGCTAGGAATATACATACATTAATGCTACTTTAGTGTCTTAAAAATCTCAGTTAGTATAAATGAGAACTAGTATGAGATTAGGTCAGTCTAGGAAAGAGAAATTTGATAGGTAACACTAACATCAGTCTTTGCTCAACACAACATGTGTTGCTACATAATAAAATGCAGCATAAAGCTAAGCAGTAATACACTTTTACATTTTACTGTAAATATCAACAATTCCTTAGATTTCTTCCATTTGATTAAGCAAAGGGCTGCCAGTTTCATTGCTGGTTGTTTATGTGGACAATGGAAAGAATATTTCAAATATACTAAAACAGATTCTTAAACATCTTAATTAGAATTTTTTTAGATATATGAACAGTATTAGTATCCATACTGCATAAACATTTTGGAAAAAATGTTAGATTTTTATCGGATCGTAGTTAAAATTTTGAAGTAATTTCAGGCTTAAAGATACTAAAATTGATCTGGTAGTGCTAATATATGTTTATTTTTCTAATGAAAATCATGCAGCAATGGCTGTAAGTACTAACCTGAAGTTTCATGTAGAATTAATGAAGTGATTAAATGATTCTACCTTGAATGTCAACATTTGTTACATAACAGAATAATTTCAGCTATTCTTAGTAGCTCTTTTCTTTTTTCTTTAATTGGATAGCAAGCTTATATATACATGTTTCTCACAGACACATCTGTTTTTCAATAAATCAGGGACATGAAGTCAAAGTTATAAGTGTTCTCATTATGGGTATTTTTCAAATAACTTATGACTAATATTTTAACAAATCAAAGATATATGCTCAAACAGTACATAACTCATATTAAAACATATTTTACCATAAAATATATCCTAACCATCATTATTAGAGATAAAGTAATAGTTTCTAGAGGAAGGAAAGATATATTAATGAGAGCATTTCACTGAGTTGTTGCTGCGCTGCTTGTTAATGAGAATGGTTCAGTAAACAAAAAATGAATCCACTAGAATTAGAATCAGGACAGACTTATAAAATGTTCTGGGAACCGCAAGTACTCAGCATTGTCAGGGAAAAAAGCTGCTGTCTTGAGCTTACATGACTTCAGCAACAAAATTTCTCATAGGGACCTACATGTTTGATGCATTCACCTTCTGCTGGTGTTAATTAGGTTTAAATGATAAAGCTCCCATTCCCTGTAACAAAACATTATTTTTCTGTAATGTTTATGCTTTTTGCATTATGATTTCATTAACTTCTCTCAGAAATCCACTAATCTCTTTCTTATTGTTTTGATTGTCACCATTACACAATGATGCTTTAATTAACACTTTCAGGAGTGCCTGAACTTGGAATCATTAATGAAATCATGGTTCCAATGGAACTGCCTCTTGAACTTTTGCTGGCTTTTAACTCATGTTTTATTATAAGTCATATTTTATATCTTTCATCTAAGTGATCCAATGAAATCAAGAGATTCTTAAACTTCCTAGAAACAAAGAAGAGATGGAGTGATGTGGACTGTGAATCTAGTAGAATTAAAGAGTTCTGACACAAATAGGACCTGTAGCACATTTACATTCTAAAAAGACAAATCAAATGCATTCTAGTATAATAAAATAAATTCAATTACAGAAGACCAGAAGCTTCCATTATCAACAGTCTAGTGTAATCCCACAAAACAGGAAGGAAAGCAAAAAAGAAAATGTTCTTTTTAACTCTGTTTTATAAGAATATTAAAAGTTATTAGAAAGAAAAATACATTTAAGTCTAAACAGATATTAAAATCATAATAAAACAATTCCATACTTTTAGAGTAAAATTTACATTTTATTTTGCCAAAAAACTTCATAAACATTAACTGAGACAGGTCTAATTATACTTTAACTGAAGATAAAGAAAATTTCTTTAGGAGGACTTAGATTGAGGCAAATCACAGAAATTTATAGGTAGAGATGCTTAAACCTCAATGAGTAAAAACAGTCATCTTGCAAACAACAACCAAAAATTTATTAGAACAGAATTTCTGGCCTTTCTCAGTTCCAATATACTCAGATAACTGCAGACAGCATTAGTTAGCATGAAGTAGCTTGGGGGAGCAGGGCCAACAATACTTGTTTTTCATCACATGGCTTTTTTGCAAGGGGTGTTCATAGGCAAGTGCCAAAGAAGGAAAAAGTAGGCTCTTATTGCTTTCTTTGACTTGGGACCATTAGTGGGAGCATTGCCCAGACACTAATTTTCATGAAAGATTTAGGAACTGATGACCAATGTTCTCTGAGCTGTCAATACCATCACCAAATATAGCAGAAAGCAGCAAGTTGTGTCAAAAGCTTGCAAGTACCTGTTTACATGAAAAGAAGAGAGAATAAATAATAAGGAAACCAGAAGTGAAATTTTGCACAGCCAATAATCTGGCAATGGAAAGCTCCTTAGGTCAAAATATAAGGAAGTTTAAACTGAATTTAAAAAATAAAAAAAATAGGAGTGCACATAGAATATCTATTGTGGATTAAAACTAAACAAATTCTTTCTCATCAATTAGAACACACCAAACCACCAGTTAGTAGTGAGGGTTCTCCTGCACTGGGGGACAATTCTTCCTCTTTGAGTCTATGATTGTGCACGTACCAAGGATTGCCAGCACAGTGCTGTCTTTCAGGACTTCCATGGAACCTGAGCACACGAAGTAGATCGCTTGCAGGGCATCCCCCTGCCGGAGGAGGTATTCCCCAGGAGCACAGAAGGAGGTTTTGATGTGCAGAGACAGAGACCTGAGGCAACCACGACTGGCACACTCGAAGAGGGAAAGCTGCAAAATCTCCTTGTTCAAGTGCATGGTGATGTCTGAACGCAGCTCATCTGGGAAGTCTTTTAAAAGCTGTCCAAAAGAAGGAAAAAAAAACAGATGAAAAAGAGAAAATTTGTAAAATTATTTGTTTCCACTTTTGCAGAAGTGGCCTGATTTAGCGGTGTGGCACAAGTCATACTGTTGCAAATACTTCCCTTTGATTTTTTTTATCTCCTTGATGAGATGTGCTATTTTAAGACATTTTAACACTGATAAATTCTGGGAAAAACATGAATAAATATATGCCTTTTTACTACCAAAAAAAAAAAAACCAAACCAAACCAAAACAAAAAAACCCAAACAAACAAAAAAAACCCCAAAAAAACAAAACAAAAAAAACCCCAAAAAGCCTCATTAAAAAAACAAAAACAAAAAAAAAAAAAACAGGAAAAAAGGTCAACAATACTGTTTGTACGAACTCCTTCTAATGCACAATTTAAGTTTGTGCCAGTTCTTCATGTGATAAAACACAGTAGGCTGCTCGGGTATACCACTGTGGCAGTGACATATACAATGAAACAGAGAATTCTAAAATTCATCAATGTGCAATATTACTTCTTCTATAGTAAAATCACTGCAAGAGGAATAACTAAAAAACACACCGCCTTGAATGCGTTTTTTTTTTTCTTGTTGCTATTTTCATTTTTTAATAATGTAACTGGACACTGAAGGAGGGGTGGGAAAGGAATGGAGACAAGTTGCACGTTCAGTGGAAGAACCTATGGAAACTAAAAGACCATGAGGTCTCACTTTTTCCTTCCAAGCTGCAAGCCCACAAATACAGGGCTTTTTTGTAGTTTGAGGGGATGTGGCACATGAACAATGCAATCAGCCAATGCTTGACCAGGTGGGCTCAGACAAGGTGCTTTATCCATAAGCTGGAAATAATGAAAGACTGATGGTCTCTCCAGGACCTGTGGTTGTAGTACAGCAGTCACTCACTTTCAGTGTGACTGAAGGTACAGAAAGTACAAAAGCCGAAGGTGATCATTAACCACATCTAGGAAAGCTTTGAAATCTAAGTCATTTTTGTACCTTTGTAAATCTTACTAAGCTCCTTCTGTTGCTAAGATGCTGTTGAAAATCCTGTTCTTTGTGCTGTGCACAACACAAAAAGAATTTATCAGGAAAAGAATGTTCCAAACCCCAAATCTTTCTGCTTATTTCCACATTATCTTTAGAGACCACTGAGTTTTATAACACAGATAACAAGAAACCTAAAGGGAGTGTTCCATTCAAATAACACTCCAGCAGAGAGAAGCCATTATTTCTCCTGACATAACAGGAGACATAACGTGGATAAGTAATTTAAAACAAACAAGCACAGACACCACCAGAAATCTGTCTTTTGATTTCACTCTCAAGTTACACTGTGCAATATTTAAAAAGGTACTGATATAAATAACATAAAAATTCAGCCAAAATAATTTGTTTACAGTATTGGAATAAATAAGATGAGGGAGGAAGGAAAGGGTATCAAAGTCCCTCCTTTAAAAATGACCTAAAATCCCCATGTAGATGTTTTGTTTAGTGAAAGACACAAATAGTCATTATAGCATTTCTGCTGGCATCATCTAAAAGGTGTCTGATTAAAACCTCTTCAGCATTTGAGAGTCATGGAGGACTGAATTTTACTACATTATTTGATGTTTTAAACCTGCTTTTTCAGTTGTGTACCCTCTTCCTGGGATAATACATGTTTATTTTTAGGCATGGTTTTCTTTGCTATGTAACTTTACACAAGCCACAGCATGACAAAATAAAAAGTACCCCCCTCCTTGACTCAAAGTCATAGTTCATAGTCAAAATAATCAAACACAATTTCCCCCTTGTTTGGTTACCTCATTGGAATCAATTCCATTATTGACAGACCACGTGGTTTGGAAATATTCAAGCATCCTTTGCTTTAGCTGCTGTGGCAGGTGATGGACCCGTATAAAGTCCTTCAAATCCTTGGTTCTTGTGTGATAAAGGGACCATCTGGAGTACATCCTCTGAATTATGGCAGTCACATTGCCAAACACCAAGGCATGCATCAGAGCTAGGAAGCACAGAAATTACATGCAATGTGGAGTGATTTGTTGATCAATAAATCTTAGCACAGAAAATAAACAGCATCTTCACAGAGAGAAAATTTCCTGATTAAGAGATATAAGAAAGCTTTTGAATGTAAGACTCCTTGAGAAATGGTATATTAATACTGTGGTATTGATGTGATTATTCATTTCTGGTGTTTGAGACACGAGGGATCACTGTCATGGGATAGGCTAGAGCAACGACTTATTCTATCTAGTCAGTCTACCTAACAAAAGATTAAGTCTACCTAAGAAAATCTAGTCTACCTAACAAAAGAATTAAGTCAAATTAAGTCCACAGTCTAAGAGAAAAGGAAAACAGAACATAGAATCATAGAATCATAAAATGGTTTGGGTTGGAAGGAACCTTCAACATCATCTAGTTCCAATCACCCTGCCATGGGCAGGGATGCCTTTCACTAGACCAGATTGCTCAAAGCCTCACCCAACCTGGCCTTGGACGCAGCCAGGGATGGGGCATCCACAACTTCCCTAAGGAGCATCTTCCTGAGCCTCACCACCCGCAAAGTAAATAATTTCTCCCAATATCTAATCTAAACCTACTCTCAGTTTGAACCATTGCCACTTGTGCTATCACTACAGGCCTTTGCAAAAAAGTACAGGAAGGAACACATGTGGGCAGGTATGTTCAGAAAATAACGAGATACTAATAATCAGCATGGAAACTAGACTCAAATGGTCAGTTGGAAACTACACAGAATGTCATAGATTTCAGAGAACTCATATAAATAAAAGCAATTACTAATGGAGACCGTGTGTAGCTGAATGAGGTTGTTAATAACATTTAAAAATGTATCATATTCTGGGCACGATATTTATAAAGTCAGAAACCAACTCCACTGTAAAGCAGAAATTCAGGCTGAAAGAAACATTCAAAGAGACAACCTGATTTCTTATGTTGCTTGACAGGGTTAGTTACGCTTAAAATAATTTTGACATCCTGGAGTTTGTCTGCAATTAGTGATTGGCTTGGGAATAAAGAGACCAGAAGCAAAATTGAAGAAATATTTACAAATATAAGTCATCTGGGTTTGTCTGTGTAGAAATGTGTTTGCTTATTTGAGTTGGAAAAATCACTGCTAAATTGTCTGACGTGATATTGATCTGATGTATAGAACATACACATCTGCAAATTGTTTATTAAAAAAAATACTAAAAAGCTTGATTATTTCTCTTAAGGGACATCTGTCTTTATAGTGTTTGAGTGAAAGCACACAGACTTCTCAGAGTGACAAAGGAATTGGTTTACAAACAAGACAAACAAGTTGTTGACTTTGTGTGTCACTTTACAGAAGTCCAGAGTGAGTGAGAAGAGACAAGGAGGAACAGGAGGAGGAAAGGATGTACTTTTAAATGGTAGAAATAAAAACTTCTGTAGTTTGGAATGTTAGAAAACTCTTACAGGCTGAGAAAAATGCAAAGGAGCTAGTAACAATATCTATGTCCTTACTGTGAAGGGAGTGCAGAAAAATAGATAAAGAACTGCAGTGGAGAAATAGCAGGAAAAAAAGGATTATGGGTGTAGTAAGAATAGTAAGCCTAACTGGAAATTTATTTCTAAAAATAATCAGCTATTTCAACTAGGTGTTGAAATAGCTCATGATGGTGCAGTGAATTGCTAAGTCATTAATGTCAGAAGCTAGAGCAACAAAATGTGAGGGATTGGTATAATACTAGATACAGAATATTATATTAGCAATATGACAGCTAGGTCTGAAACAATTCAGCCAGATGCAGATAAATAGGTTAAGGAAATAGTGTAACCTATTTAAGAATGCCATAATCAGCTTTAAAAGGGGGTGGGATAAAGCGTTAGGTGGTGTATGAATGCAAATTAAGACTCATATGTGATGTAAGTGGCTCATCAGACTCTAAGGGTAGGAGCTGGACAGTGCAGAGATCTCAGTAAAGTTATTATAGGCACAAATATCATCTAGAATTTTGTTATTGTGATAGAATCTGTCTTTGCCTGTATACATTGGAAGGCAACTGCTTCTCATAATGACAAGCTATTCTTGGCTGTGACAGGCATTAGAATTCTTTATCAAATAATCATACACTTACCCTACTTTCTGTAAGTATTATGCCTCTGTCTAAACTCAAGTAGGACAAGTTCAAAACTTCTAGGAACTGTATTTCATACAGTGGCCTTTATTTTAATAGATACTTTAAATCACATTTTGCTTAGGGAACAGAGGAACACCTCTGATCCCGTATAGGACTGGAGCTACTACAGTGGGCCTCCAATCTCTTAAATACAAAAATACACATTATTTGCTGAAAGAACGTGGAGATTATAAGACAGAACACAGTATGATCACATGCTGGAGGGCAGATCAGATCGATGTTTTAGAGATGTTGGGTGTCCTAGGAATTCTGGTTACATTTTATTAAGTAAATTTTCTTTCCAACTTTAATAAACTTACTGTATTGAACAAGATCTTTTATCTTCAGAATATGACTTGTAAAAATTTAAATTTCAAATTTATGCGAAATAAAAATTAATGTGAAGAGGCCAGTAAATATGAAAAAGGTATTCTATATGCAATTTATTTGTTAAGTTTACACCTTTTTTTTCAAATTTTTCAAGGTTTAAGTAAATTTACTTCATTTTTTCAGTTTGTAGTGTCATACATTAAAGACATACAGAAAAAGCTACTGATAAACTAACTCACCCTATCCATTACAGCAGAAATTTCATTAACTAATGGCTTGGTCAAAAAGTCTGAAAAACTTACACCAGTCTTTCTCAGAACATCCCTTTCCATTAGGGAATTTTAAAATTAAATATTAGCCAAAAAGATACACTAAAATAGGTTTTAAGAATGATGAGGCATAATGTACCTAAGTGTACACATTATCACTTTATTCCTAACAGTTTTCTGAGGCATGCTCACCAGTCTTCACAGTATCATTCTATCTCTTTCCTTGATTTTCTTCAATAGTATCTAAAATATAATTCCTCAAGAAAACAGCTGCAGGTCGGTCTGCTCTGCTTTTTTTTTTTTTTTACCTGGACATATCTTGTTCATTGGACCCTTGTAGATATAAATCCATTCTGCTACCTGCTTGCCTTTAAGCAACTTCACCTTTCAGACATCAGCTCCCTCTTACTCCACTTACCTGACTAATTCTTCCCAATTTATTCTATGTACAAGCATATTACAAGAAATAAATGTGAAATTGTAACTGGGCTAAATAAATGTATAGGATACTTCTATATTCTACTCTCTGAAAGCTCTGCCATATTAAAATGAATTAAATATTCATCACTGGAGACCTCTTGATTTCTTGATAGAATGAAAACTCCTTCCTTTATTACAACATATTTTATGCAGTGAAAGCCCCAAAGAACAGAGACCACAGTGTATTTTAAAACTAAAATTTTATGCAACCACCAAAAGAAATTCATGAGCTGCTTGTGGTTTTTTGACATTGTGAAAACCAAATTTTCTTTTTATTTCATTCTTGGATGATACGTTATATTATTGCCTCTCATTTTCAGGACTGAGGAAAATGAAAATAATTCATTGAAAAATTATTTTACCACTTGATACTGCAACTATATAGCTCTCAGGTAATTCATCATGTTCCCTGACAAGTGCCAAATTTCCAATTTATTGTTGCCAGGAGAATTTATAGTGCAAAGCTGACACCCAGGGCTTTACCGACTAGCCCTGGAGAAACACCTACTAGTATTTCCAGAACAGCTAAGCCAGCAGAAAGAAAAAGGAAGGACAGAGTACTCTAGCAGTGACTTGATTTTGCCCTACATGTGCAGTGTGACATCTTTGCGCTGTATTATATACACATCATGAAATAGCACATCTGATTTTTTGTGGGAGGAAGATGAATGTAAAGACAGAGCTTCTGGTACTTTCTCTAAAGGACTTGGCTTACAAATCTCTGCTTGTTGTACCCAGGTTCTCAGTAGAAGGAAGGGCACCATGTAGGAGCATGTGGCTTACTCCAAAAGTTCAACTAGATAATCAGTATCAATAAAAATGTTACTAAAAGCTCCAAATATGACAAAAAAATGCATTCTGGTTCAATTCTGAATCAAATTTTTATCAATGATAATTGAACAGCATTTTTAAAGAATCTTTTATGCCAAGGCTCACCAAACAGTCTCCTGGCTCTGACCTGTCTCTCCTTCTGGTCTGGTCCTTCACATAAGTATACACACCAGCTCACAGACACTTTGTCCTGTGGGCTGCACACCTCCCCTCATCACCATTCCCAGGGCTGCGGTGGGGATGGAGCTGCAGCTGGTATGCACATCATACCTGGCTGTCTGCTAAAGTGTCTGCCACAAGGGACTGAAATCCCCAACACATGGCTGGGCCACTCCCACTGTTAATAATGTGAACTTGCATTTCAGTGGGCAGCACCGTCTTTCATCACCATAAGTGAATAAAAGGTTAGAAATAGATCTGCCTGAGAGAGTTTATCTAGTGTAAAGCAAACAAAGTTGTTTCCTTCTTTTGCAATTTTAAACCTCCATAGATGACATACTTTTAAACTGGATGTACATCACATAATTTCATTTATTAGACATCCAGAAAATCACTCCTTCCCCTGGCTTGGTGCTTTTTCTGCCTTGCATATGTGCAATACTCCCTATAATTTGCAGCTTCATTCTATACTACTACTTAGATTTTCCTTTTATGCTAGACACTTAACATACCAAAATAATAACTGGTACTTAGAAACTAGGTGCATTTTCTACTGCATTAATTAACTATAGCACTTATTTAAAAAAAAAAAGAGAAACATTTTCTTTTTTTTGCCATTTTAAATTAAAATTATTAAGTTTTCCGCTGTGCTTGTTTGGGGTTTCTTTTAAGAAACTTAGCAAAATTTCAGCTTTTATTTCACTTTTTCTTATTCCTGGAAAAGGTTTTAAATGACACTTAATTGCACTTACCCCCAATCAGCATTGTGCAAATGGAGAAGATCTTTTCAGCATCGGTATTGGCTGAAACATTTCCAAAGCCAACACTGGTGAGGCTGCTGAGAGTGAAATACAGGGCAGCTATATAGGCACTTCTGATTGATGGGCCTCCAAGTGTATTATTCTCATAATAAGGAGATTCAATTCGTTTTCCTAGCTCATGAAGCCAACCTGCAAAATAAAGCATAAAAATAGTTACTTTTTAGTAATAACGATACCACGTGAAAACTTTACATTATATTAAAAAAACAGTTCTAGAAACCCCCAAAAATCTACTTAAAAAGCATTATATTCTTCACATAATTCCAAGAATAAAAAGAACACTAAACTGTGGGAATTTATGCAGCGCATTAAGTATTGTCTCTGGGACATTTATTTTTATGTGTAATTTTAAATGATAAGAATTGTATTTCTGCATTGAAATCAAGTGGTTTTGAATTGCATATTACAGGTCTAATGATATAATTTATAAAATCCATTAAGTCACTAAAAAGAAAAAAATCTTCACCTAATAGCACTGCAGCAACAATGAAACATCATTTGATTCTTTCCATTAATTAATGCTTGGAAAGCTTTTTGACATTCTAAAACTAAATCATTATAATAGTAATTACATATTCAGAGCTTTTCGCATGTTTCTTTTTACAGTAGAAAAGATTCAAAGAACTAAACATAACTTACAAACCAGAATTAATTTTCAAAACATGCTTCAGTAAGTATTTTCTAAATTGTTCATTAAATCTTTCCTTTCATTTTGATAAATGGCTCTATGTGTGCCAGAGAAAGCAGAATTAGCTACTGCCTCAGATATTTGAAAAAAACAACAAAACAACCCCAAAGCAACAATGCAGGAAAAAATACTCACCTGGAAAACACAACCTGAATGAATTACATAAACACAATGCTTCACAAAAATCAAGACTGGGGAAAAAAGAAGGATAAAAACCTGTTTGTGTGCCCAGTTTTGCCTGTTAAACAGCTTGCTTGGGAGAATGGGAATCTTTCTTGGGTATACAGGGAGAACTGCCAAAAGAAAATAATCTTGACAGAGTTTTATTTTTAGAAAAAATTATTTGGGGGTCCCCCTTTTGTAAGCTGGGACATGACAGACTCCTGGAGATTATTCTCTCTCCACTTCAGTCATCATCCATTTAGATGAATCCAAATATGAACTGGGGGAAATCTCATTGCACAGAATGTCTGCAAAAGTAGTGGGTAGATTTAGAGCATCTATCCCAACACTTCCAATCAACTTGGGGAAAAAGCCTGTAGGAAATTAGCACTGGAGTAGTCCTGCTGAACCATGTTTGATCCAATGATCAGCTCCATGCTTTCTGGCATGCTGTTCTCCAGAGAAAGCTCAGCCAGAAGGGCTGGGTAATGCACAGCAAGGTCTGGCCATGACCCTGCTAATGCACTCTGTACAGGACAGGGAATTTGATCAAAAGCATAAATGAAAGCAATCTGCATTGTCATACAATGGCAGTACTGAGTAGGATGTTTCACCTTGCCAACAGACAGGGAAGCATATGAAAATCCCCTTGATTTTGCCTGGATAGATAGTATTAATCTATTCTCTATCTAAGTGGGGCTATTTTATATTTGTGGCTCCCAATTATTTAAAAAGAAAGTGGAGCAAAATGGGAAAAAAAGAAAAAAGATTCCTAGTTGAGTCAATACCAGTACTCTGTGTACTACTGTTTTTCTGAGATTACACTACATTTCTCCAACAGTAGCATGGTCCTTTGCATGGCAGATTTAATTCCTATATTTCTATAGTAGGGAATGGAATCACAAACATTAAAGAACATAGAATAAAAACCGAAGAAAATCTCTGGCAGGGAGGGGACAAAAAAAGGTCTATCTAAACCCAGTGTAAAGCAATACAATCATAAAGTTCAAGATCATCTCAAGATTGTTTCAGTTGCAAACCTGAAGCAAGTAAGTTATTTTAAAGAACGGTAACTGATATGCCTTTTAGGAGAAAATCTCCTGCCTCTGAGTGTTCTAAAGTCCACTGATTCTCAGCCTATTTCCTTTTTTCTCATTTTTCATGCATTTCCAGTGCTATCCAGGAAAGGTGGATGACTGCATTCTTTAACTGAGATATATGTGAATTGGTTTCTCCTTTATAACTCACTTTATGTTCAAGGTTTTCATCCAACCCTACTGAAACATTATTACTCCTAAAGGATTCATACTGCTAGGAAAAGTAAGGTACAAAAATATGTGTCTATATTGTGTCAATCAGTAGAAGCCTCTAAAATATTTCTACACAATTTCTACTAGCAAAATACCAATATAATAATTTTACAATTTCTAGAAAACACTTCTGGCCAAGATACCAGTACTTGAGATGAGTTTAGTATCCAGTGTCTAGTTCTGTGGCATAACTGAAGGTCAGACAAATCACTAGGATATGTGGCTTATCACTGAGGTAAAACAGTAGCCGTTAGCAATGATTAGCAATTCATAACTATTGCTAAAATAATGCCCACAATGTGAAGAAAAGCTAAGAAGTAAATTTATTTAGAGATTTAGACTTGGAAGAGAAAATGCATTTCTGAAAGGGAAAACCCTAAAAATATATTTCTCTGACTTGTAGATGTGTTTACAGCTTCTCATTTCTATTTTGGCTGGCAGAGATTATCCTAATCAGGAAATTCTGAAAAAAAATGATATAAAGTGATGTTTCAGCCAGAGTATATAAAATGCTGCAATATCTTCCAGATCAACTGTACTTCTCATATTTGTTGATAGCATGGCATTTTTTTTTCAGTTTCAGGGTAGAGACAAGTTACGGATGGGTGTAAATACTTTCATAAGCCAATGGAAATAGTCATAAAGTAGCATCACTGACTAATGCCTTTTCCTTTTCAGTTCCTGTAGGTAACAGCTCTCAGCAGATTCTCTGGCAAGCTTGAGTAATTAATTTCTGCCCTCAGGGAAGAAGAGAAAAATAAATATAGCTTGTAGTCAGAGGGAGCTTCCTAGAATTTAGCATTATGAATCTTGTCTGGTTCAGAATTAGCATTGTCTAGGCACAGCTCTCTGATTTTGAAAACATTTTAAAGTACCAATTAGCATAATTAAGAGGAAGACCTTTCAAAGGGAAAAAGAGCTCTTAAGTAATCACGTCCCATTGGAAAAGTCAATAGGAATTGGATATCTGGCTCCATTAGGCTACTTTGAAAATTGCTGTAAGAATCTGTATTGAGTTTCATTTACTTATATCTGAGAAGTGCTCAAGTATCAGCAGAAGCCTAAAAAAGCATTTAAACCTCCATAGATGGCATACTTTTTGACTGGATGTAAATCACATAATTTCATTTATTAGACATCCAGAAAATCATTCCTTCCCCTGGCTTGGTGCTTTCTCTGCCTTGAGTATGTACAATACTCCCTATAATTTCAGCTTCATTCTATACTACTACTTAGATTTTCTTTTTATGCCAGCCACTTAACATACCAAAATACTGTCTGGTACTTCAAAAACTTAGAAACTAGGTGCGTTTTCTACTGCATTAATTAACTATAGCACTTATTATAAAAATAAGAGAAATATTGTCTTTTCCAGTTTAAAAAAAAAAAAGCCCAAAGTCTTTGGTTTATTCTACACTACAGTGTCAGGAAGAATGAAGAGGTGTGGATAAAGAGTACCTCTGAGAACATCCCTGAATGTCTGAAAGCAATCGCAGTGATGATGCTAAAGGAGAAAAGGCTGAGCTTCTCTCAGCTATAATTCCACCTTGAATTTAGGGACTTCAAGTATTCCTAGGGGAAATATGAAGGTAGAAAAGCCTATCTGCTCTCACATAATCAATTTTTTCTGATGTATTTCAACCTCATTCAGGGCCAGATCATACTTGGCTCTTTCATGCTAGTGAGGAGAGAGAGAGTAAGCAATACTAAGCTGATAGTAGAAAAAGAAAATATGTAGTGAGAAATGTTGGAGTTAACTAAAGGTCACTGTGGATTGTATTTAGTGAGGATTATATTCAAGGAGTATGTCTGAGGCTGAGTTTTGTTTTTCTGGCTCAACTGAAAAGAAGCAACAATAGAAAAATGTCCTGAACTGGAGCACATGCAGCCTTCTGATACAAATAGATTGTAAGTTTCAACACAAAACTCACTATCCTATGACTACTGATGTGTGTTGCAGTGAACAGTTTAGTGCCATTAAGGAGAAGATAAAAACTGTACAAGAGAAATTAGATCCTTCATCACTGGAATGCATTTTTAAATTAAAATCACTGTGCAGCCTGAGAGCTGTGCAGTAGTCCCTGATCACTGCTGATAGCTCCTAATTTCAGATCTAGAGCAAGGAAGCCAGGAGCTGTAGGTTTGCACAGCAAAGCACACCACCCTTTCATCACATAGCAGCACCCTCTAATCTGCAAATAAACATTCATATTTCCATTGTAAATGGGGGAAAAATGGTCCAAGTTTCCATTGGTCTCAATGAACCAAGATTCTCAGCTGTATCCATCTCTATGTTTCTTTGTATTAACCTCCACAAAATAGACCTTAAGGCAGAACTGTTGTGAAGGGAGACCAAGTAGGTGAATTTCCTTCTTTTTAGGTAAATATCCAAATCACTTCCCTCAACTGTCTGTGTGGCTTATTCAGAATGCATCATAGCTAAAATTCATTTGAAGATAGGAGGCCAGAGCTAATATTGTATTTGAGATGAGATTTTTTATAACAGCATAATGAATATATTTTATCATATCTAACCCTAATTATCATTCATTAGACCTTAAAACAGTACCTTCTTTTTTAAGATCTCTTGCAAAGAATTCTGCACAATTATGCTCTAGATGTTGCTGACTGATATAATTCATTCAGAATCTAAAGGTGTATAAGAAGATGAAATAATTTTACTTCTTCTTGTGTGTATGACTGCATTATTGAATAATCATTGCCTCTGTTCTCATGGTTACTACTCAGGCTCTTCACAAGGGCTTCAAAGCTTTTTTTATCCCTGTCTAGACAAAATGTTTTTGACATGTGCAACTTTTCCCTGCTAAAACCTTTGTAGTTTTTCACCAGACTATTAATAGACCAAACAGCACCAGTCCTACTATTTCACCCTGTGGAATATTGCTGTTACTCTCTCATTTTCACAAAACCTGATCATTTGTTTACAGGTTTGATTTAAGTGAATCAAA